AAAGAGTTTTTTACATTGAGGACTAGCAAAATATTTTAGAAAATGCCTGGGGTTTCATGTGTCATGCTTCTAAAGGAAGCCTTAGGCTCGTTAGCCCCATAAAAACTTTGCTCTCGTGTCTAAGGGACATGGGACTGCAAAAGGTAAGAGACAATAGATTTGGCACAGGGCAGTTTTCACTTGCCTCTTCCATTCCACATTCTTCTCCATTTGCTGTACAGTAGATTACATGAGAATTTCAGGAATTTTGTGAAAACTGTTTGGGAACCAAAAGCTGCTTTGTTCAACTCAATTAGGCTTAGTCTGAGATCACTGTAGACTGTTACTGAATACTGCTGCCAAAGCTGGACCTTCTATTGCTACACTGTGCTATGACTCCTCTGCCCATCCCCTCTTCTGCCCAAGAAACAATATCCGTTTTTTACCTGAGTCATAAAAATTAAAAGAATCTCCTTGCTATTTTGGCATGGGTGGTGGTGTTTATCTGTAATGGAGGTGAAGAGGCTTCTGCCTGAGACAGTTACTTTTCCCGAGAAGAGGGCATCTTTACTTTGTGTAGGCTTCAGGAAGGTCCTGAAACATGTCTGCTACCTCACGTTTACAACAGTGATGCTTGCTACCATTGTTCCTTCCTTGGAGGATGATTTTAAGGTTTCAATTTGTGGAGTCCTTGGTGTGCACTGGGTGTGCCTTAGATCTACAGCTCAATTAATGCCAGTTGGAGGGATTGGAGTCTATGACACTTTTCATAAATCTCCTGTGAATAGTAGTGTCTGTTTTCATGAAGGATAACATCTTCATGGGCAGCTGTCTTGGTCAGAGAAAGTTTTCAGTGAGGCAGGTCTGCAGAGGATGACTTTTCATTTGGTTGATGTTATTGACTATCAAAAGCCATCACTTCTGCTAAAGCAAGAGGTAGAATTAAGGGGTGTAAGGAATCAGGCTGGGGTGGCATAACCCAGTAGTTAGGGCTGGGACTCTCTAGGTTAGGAGTTAAACCGAAAGCATCAAGTTAAAGTTGAGTTAAACACCATACTGGGAGGCAAAATTGGAACCATGGGATTAAGTCAGCAGACTTAAGTTAGGCAGACCCAGGGCTGGTATGAGGAACTTCAGGCATAATGTTTTGAAGCATCAGGCAGGAAGCAACTGCTCGAGCTGCCCTCCAGTGTCCTGGAAAACCACCTTCATTTCCCCGAGAAAAGAAGTGACATGTGCCAGATGTATGCGAGACTCTGCATTAGTAAATTAACAGGGCTGTAACACTCGGGCTTATGCTGCCTCCTTTAATTGCCTAACATGCATATAGAATGCCAAATGATGTTCTCTAAAGGAACCTGAATGCAGATTATGCTTTGCACCTCTTTGCACTATTGGTTAGCTGGTACCTATCATGCTGAACATCAGGAACTCAGTCCACGAGAGGTGAAGGGGCTGCTACTTGTGTAGTTCAGGTGCATGCCAGAGAAAGTACAAAATTGTGACAGTAGAGTAAGCTGTTGACCTTTTTCTAACATTGTGTCTTGGACTTGTCATTCTTCTTTCTGAGACCTCATTTACAATAGCTTCTGAATTGGAAATAATTGTAAACCAGGACCATGGCTGCTTTTATCTTTTATGCCCTTACACAGGGACAAACGATCCTATTTTAAAAAAAAAAAAAGTCCACCACACCACATTGATTGCTATGCTAATAGCAATAGTTCGAACCAGCATAGTTACTATAGAGTAATTTCCCCACCCAACACAACATGCTGTGCATACGCACACATACACACACATGCATATGCTTGGAAATGAGCAGTTGAGCATAAAGCTGGACTATATAGCTGTTGTGTAAGGCACAGTGTGGCCCATTGCGTGAGTGATTTGACTGGGATCTCCTCCCTACAGTTCTAGTGTTAGTATCCATTGAGTGATGATTCGTTTCTTGATGTTTTACGAACACAGAAACAAAATGAACTAGGTAATAGTTAATGTAACTCTTCACTAGTCGTCCCTGCGTGCCGCTTCACACAGAGCCCCCTCCTCCAAAACTAAAGCAAAAAGGCCCTGGATTTATTGCAGTATTGGTTAGGTTCTGTTGTTAAATCCGTTGCTAGAGGAGGAATGGAGGCAAATGCAAACTTCTGACAAGTTCTTCAAGCATCTTGTCTGTTCCCCTACCTCCACCAACTAACCTTGCTTGGGTGTTGGCTGCTGAGGTACAGGAGGGAGATTGCTCTGTTAGGTGAAGCATTGGTTTGATTTCAACCACCATCTAGGTCCCACTGCTTTCCCCTCATTTGTAGTGAAAGTAATGTACTCACTACATGATAAATCTTTTGCCCTCAGTCCTTGTTCCTTTCCTCTGATGGCTTGACTCCTGGCTTTGTCATCCTACCCACTTGAGCAGAGATAGCCAACTTCCTTGTGAGCCTCTTGGCTTCACATCATCTTCCTCAGTTGCACATACTGTGGTGAGCCCCAGGTGAAAGCAGCTAAGAGCCTGTAGCTCCATTCTGTGAGAAGATTGCTGCAGTTTACTGGGGTATGCATTACTTCAAATGACAGTTCCCACCCCAGCCCTTTAGTCTTTCTTGAACGGGGGAAACATAGAGGCAATATATTGCCTGCTGGTTTTTCTATTGCACGTAAGCAGCCATAGTGTTCCTAGAGTCCAACGATTGGTTTAAACCATCTGACTGCTTGCGTCTCCACTTTCAGGGTGGTTTCCACCAGAAATTTTTTGATACTAACGTAATCTGGAATCAGTGATGGCTAGATTTCTGTGGACCCTTGTGAGGGACCTTAAACAGGTCATTTACTGCTATGACACACACGGTCACAGAAGAGCTGAAGTTGAGTTTGTTGTGGAGGCATCAACTGGCTTTGTGCCACTGGAACACCCTTCTCTAGGACTATAGATGTTGGCTGTAGACTTTCTGTGAGGCTGTGTGTAAATCCCGCAGTGCAACAAGCAACATGTACAGTTGAAGGTTTTTTTGGTGGCCAGTAGCCTGGTATGCTTTCATACCACCTCCCCTCCTTCCTTGGAGAAACATGGTTCCAGTGCAGACCATCTTCCTTTGATTATAGCGATAGTGACAGCAGCTTTTTAAATATCTGCCTTACCGAAGTTCAATTGCTAGTCAAAGAGAGATGAGACAGAACACCAGATTTGCTTTTCTCCAGTTGGAAAGTCTTTTTCAGATGTTTCTGCTGTTCTCAATAAAGGTCGTATTTGCTGATTCAGGTTTGCTGAGAGCAGGCTAGGTTCACTGGCGTGTTCCAGCTGCTTTGCAGTGCTCTGGCAACGCAAACCAGCTGCAGGTCTGGTTTAACTCAAGCCAGGTTTATGACTGGTTTGCATCACTGGAGCAATGTAAAGTACCTGAAGCATGCCAGCTAATCTGGCCTGTTGGTGAACCATTACAAATGACTTGTTTTTCTTCATGTTCTTTACATGTAACTTTATTTATAGTTAAAGCCTGTAGAAATTGAGTAGATTGTGTCACTAAAAGACAGATTTTGTGTTCTAAACTGAAGTCTATAAAATTAGAGGTTTTTTAAGCCAGAGCTTTTTCTTCTTAACTGAAATAAAATTATAAAATTACACATTGCTCCTCTGCACTTCACTGTTATGGATTTCTTTTAAGTTACATTAAGATTACAGTTGCCTGTTCTTATTATAAAATGAAATAATGATTAGATTAATGAATCTAAAAGAGTAGGCTTTATAAGTTTTATTTTGCAAGATGTGGGCTCAGCTTTTATTCTAAATGTAGTAATTTTCCTTACTGAGAATGTAGGTAATATTTATGTCATTATCAATATTGTCTGTAATGTACTGATTGAAAATATTTTCAAGATTTTGAGAGAGGAAGGAAATCAGACAATCATTATTTTTCTTCTGTTTATAGTAAAATATGTAACTGAAATCATATTTACCTACCCTGGATAGCATGATGCCACATGCCACAAATATTAATCATTAATTATATTAGTTCATGTATAGTAACTTTTTTCATAATCCCTCTCTTCCTCTGAGGCTCTTACAGTGTTGAATTCATGATTTGTGTTTTTAACACTTATTACACAACAGAAGAATGACAGAAGTGTCATTACAACTACTCTGATCAACACTTTCTGAAGAAATTCAGGATTTTTGCTCTTCACCTAGAAATATTTTTGCATAAATATTATGGGATGGTTTTAAAAAAAAAATTCCTTCTGGATAAACATATTGGCATTCAAGTCAGAAATAGTATTCCTCTGATTGTCTGTATATTGGAAGAACACATGACAGAATTTTCAAAGTTTTTCTAGACTTTGAGGCAAAACACCAAAGAATTAATTACTGCCTCATATTAATTAAGATAACAATGCAAAACCCTTCATTAGTAGCACAGGAAAAGTTCTTCCTTGGTCCTTGGAGAGAATATTATATGCAAGCCCTGTTGTGTGGGTTGCGAGGTGTCACTGGAATTTATGTGCATTACTTGTCTAATTGCAGTAAATGTAGCATGTCCAGATAGGTTTAAAAGTTGGATGGCTGTTTGTTACTTGCTGGAAATCACTTGAAACCTTGCTACTTAGAGGCAGCTGTTCACAGGTCCTTCACCTCTCCCCAGAGATAGCTGGAAGACTCTGTTGTTGGACCCTGTCTTTTATGGCAGAAGCAGTAAACATGACAGGTTGTTTGGGAGCCATCTGTTTTAAAATGGTTGCTGCTTTGTATGCAGTAATGAACTTGAGATCAGTTTTCTGTCTGTCTGCATAGTAACAGCCTTGTTTGGTGTCACAACAGGTGGAAGTTGATGGGATGAAACTAAATGTGACCAGCGAGTGGAACCTGGCTTCACCCTTATTGTCTGTCACCATTGATGGCACTCAGAGGACTATACAGGTAAACTCACCAAAACATCGTTTGTAGAGCCAAGATAACCAGAAGCCTCTGGGTATACAAATAATAAACTTGCTGCATCATAAAAAATATGTTATGTTGTGCAGATAACATAATCTTTGTACTTTGAATACATCTAGAGCTTCAGTGGAGTGAACTTCTCTCAAAGTTACCTATCTAGAGTTTTGAATATCTTTCATTTAAAGAGAAGTTGCTTATTCTAGACAGAAATTCCCTCTAGTTTTTAGGTTCTCCTTAGTTAATGGATGTGAGGAGATACAGTTTCTTAATCACTTAAGGAATAAAGAATAGATTACAAAAAAAGTGGGGTCCTGCAGTAAAATTACTCTCTTCCTCATGTTTGGATTGTGTGGTTTTCCCACTTTTGGGCCTTTACAGATTGAAAGTTGCAGGAGAGTGCATCTCCCCTGTTTTTATATATCCTTTTATGAAACGTGATAAGTTCCGTGACTTGAGAAGAAAAATGCAGAAAACATCCCAAACCTATGTGTTTCTAAGAAAAGAGGTCTAAAAAGATTAATGCACGTTGTTCCTTCTGACCAATAATGTGTTTGAAAACAACTCCAAACAAAAGGGTGTGCCTTTAACTGCCATGCAAATTTTCTGAAGGCAATGCTAGTCAGGGTTTATATATTTGTTGAGAAATCATTAATTTATAAATGTCTATTGATCCTGGAAATAATGAAAGGGGACAAAAATAAAAAACTTTCAGAGTTTTTACAAGTATTTTTGTACATGCAACATTGTCTGTTTATTTTGTATACATTCATTGGTGGTACAATGCTCAGATTTCTGATAATTTAAAGTGAAATATGTGAATTTTTTTTTTCCATTTTCACCCCTGGTGAATTGCCCAAATGGAAATGCTATTTGTGCTGTGACGGAATTTAAAAGACTGCACCTTGAAGATAGGAAATGTTATATCTTTCAAGGATAGTATTGACTGAGAGTGAAATTTTCATAACATTCCCAAGTAAATTCTGGGCTTAAGTTTTGTAGATTTCTTGGAAGGTTAATGCCAGCTTCAGGGCTTGCGTATATCTAAAATAATTTTGTATTCTAAGGTGTATTTTTATGTTTTCATACTGGACCATTTTGCTGCTATTTTATAAAGGAAATTCCTAATTTTGAGTAGGAAACGATACTGATGTATGAACATATGAAATCTGTCTAGTAGAAAAGCATTATATTTAGAACAGATAACTATATTCAGAAGGCCTCATTGCGAAGTATATAATAACTATGTGGCTGAATACAGGTCTACATATACTAATACTAATAGTAGTAAGAACAGTTAGCTGAACATGTAATATTTGAACTGGCACATAAAATTAGTTTCAAAATTAATGATCATGAGGTCTGAACATGCTTGCTTCTAGGAGCTGAGCCAGCAATAGTGTTACTTGCACTCCCTGAATATGACCAAATTGTATGAAATATAACAAGCAATTGAGCTGACTGCATGATATCTATCCAATAGAACGTGGAATAAGCGCATATGTTGTTTCTTTCTCAGGTGTTATCTGTAAGTCTTTGGTTTTAGCAAAGAAACCCAGTGGCTTGAAAATTTAATCTTTTAGTCTATGTATTTAAATTTATGGGAACCTTTAACTTGACCTGTGATATCCGCTCACTGAAATCTAAATTGGTTTTTTGGTTATATATTTCTCTAGACTTGCCCCGCTGCAAGAACCAAATTAGACAAGTGTATTCCTGTAGGTTGATTTGTCTCCAAAAGCAATTGACCCCTGAGCCGTGAAGTATCTTCTTTCAGCAAGACTTAGCCCTAGAGCCATTTAAGCAACAAATATGGATGAATCGAATAATTCCAGCTGTGCTTTATTAATTTTCAGCTAGTCTAATTTCTCTTCATAGTTAGTTTCATTCTTCTAAATTTGCTCAACCAAATACAGTCTTTGTGAACATAATATTTCTTTGAAGGTTTGATGTATGCACCTTCGGCTTGATCCTGCAGTCTGGCCCCAATCCAGCAAAGCACTTAAGCACAGAAGCAGGAAATAAATAATTTTAAAATGTTTTGGTTTAAAATGTATTTATGTAAATTATAGTCTAGACATTCAAACTGTTGCATATCTGTCGCACATTTAAAAATAAGTAATTAAGCATGCTCCTGCGTTTCCCCTCCTCTGCTGACGGCTCAGTGTGTACTGGAGCAAAGCAGAACACCAACCCTGCCAGAGAGTTAAGAAGGCCTATGAGCTTAAAACCCAGCTCTTCTAAGATACTTCTAGGGCGTGGGACCTGGGAATACATCTGAGTGTCTGAGAAGAGGTATATGCCCTGTCTAGGGCATATCAGGGCAGCCCCCTCCCTCATGCTTTCGTTTCCATTGCGAGGAAGCCCATCTGTGTGTGGCAGATGGGCACTGTGGAGTGCCTGGCCAGGTCCCCAGGTAACAGAGGGACCAGAACCCTGGGGTGTACTGCAGGTCTGTTTGGCTGCAATGTAGACGTTCTGAAATCTTTGTGCTGCTTCGGATCATTGTGAAATCCATAGGATGCAACAGAAGGTGATGAACTGATGAGAACTTGGGATTATTTGAGCATGAGATTTCTGTGATAACAGTCTCTGGGGATGAGGGTGTGGGCAGACCCTGTAGCACTTCTTGAAGTAAGTGAATTCCGTCATGGTTTTTTGTTGTTGTAGTTTTCAGTAATTCCTCAGCTAATCACAATTTTTCAGTGTTTTTTCCACTTATGACTAGACTTGACCTCTCGTTTGGAGAGGCCACATTTAACACATTTTGAAGTGTAGGAATTTTTTCACCAAGCAAATTAATTTTTTTGTATGCAGAGATACTTTGACAAAGTGGTTTCTGCTACCTGCTCCCAAAGATGTTACTGGCTTAGAATCTGGCTTACACCTTGCTATTGTGTATTCAGAATCTTCCATTGCTGAAAATCAGAGAAGCATGTAGTTACAATGTGTTTTCCTGAGGATTCAGATTTAAAGGGGATTGGTTGTTATTTAATTGTAAATACATATTTAAAATATATTTATATATAAACCATGATTTACAATATGATATAACCTTTAAGGCAATATTTAGACTAAAAATAAATGAATAAATTAAGCGCTCAATGATGTTTGTGAAGAGCAAGTGGAAAGAGGAGGTTGGATGAGTTGTGGAAAAGAACCACAAGAACTCCAGTGGAAACTGGAAGGGAGAATGGTGGTTCAGAATGGTATCCTGCAAAGTAACAACAGTTGGAAGGAAGGCAGCAGGCAGATTTTGGGACAATGAGGGCATTTTTATCCCTCTGCCTCTGCTCCCATGTGCAAGCAAGCTGGATTTCAGTGAGCCCTGTGCCTGCTGAAGTCATCTATGACCTCTTCTCTCTCCCTGTGCATATTAACTGGGGAGAGTGTGGAAGGAGATAAGGGAATAAGCTACCTTTTCCATAGAGCTGGACATCTTTTATTCCCTCTTGTGAGCCAGAATCCAGCTGGACCTCAGGGTAAATCAGTGAATCCATAATTACAGCAGAGGGACTTGAACCTAACTGTAAGTATGTCCTTACTATCATCAGGTTGCAAGTAGGTGTGTTCTACTGGGACACTGTGCAGGAAGATTAGATATCTGCAGAGAGAGCTGGTTGCCCAAGAAGAAAATGCATGTAGCAGATCCTCAAGCTCTCTTTGCTTTGGCACTACGTGTGTTTGGGCAAGTTCTCAGAACCCACCCCACCGACCATTCAAATTCCGAGCCTGCTCAAGGGCAACACAACATGGACAAATTTTACAACTCCTCAGCTCTGTTGAATGCTCTGCTTTCATTGATCCTATCATCAAACACTCAACCCATCCTTATATACCATTTACTTGCAGACAGTTTCCTATAGCAAAAGGATTCTGACACAGAATAAATTGACACCATCTTTTGCCAACGCTTTTGCACCTCTTCGTCGTCTCTTCGTCGTATTGTATGCACCCAGCCTTTCCACTGGCGTGTCGTTGGCCCACACTGGTTTCACAGGTCTGCTAGCTTGCTGTAATGAAACCTCCCCCCCCTCCAAAGGTAGTGCAGGCACTCTGCCTGGAGCCTGGAAAATTCTTGGTGGCTTTTGGCAGCTTCAGCAAAGCAGTATTACAGTGGCACTGGTGATGCCTTCTCTTGGTATTTCCTGGCTGTCAGGTCTCTGTTGAACTAAAGTTCTGTGGGATGTAGACAGAACTCAAATGGACAAGATCCTGAGAAGCTCAATATTACTTTGACATTAACTTTGCTTTGAACAGGGAATATGACTACCTGATTTCCAGAGGTTCCTTCCAGCCTAACTGTTTTGTGACTCTGTTGGACATTCCAGACTCTGTGGTAAAAAGGTCTTTATCAGTCACAGCAAGGTGTAATTAAGAGAGTAATGGAGTTTCTAAACAAGAACATGATCCTGTAAAGCTGAAATCATCAGTCTCAAGCTTCAAGTTTTTGTGAATGAAATAGATGAAGATTTATCAGTGGAGTTTTCTCTCCTTACAGTGTTACAGGGAATTTGGTGATGGAATTGCTTATTATTTTTTCATTTAATTTATTTATTCCATCAACAATTGCAGCAGGAGTATAATATTCTAGATCCCTAGGATATGACAATTTTAAGTGCTTTGCTGATACTATGTTTCTTTTGATTATTATTTTGGTTTATAAGAACAGAAAAAAACCCAAAATACTATAGATTATGAAGCCCTTGTTCCTGTGAAATCTCTGACATCCTGCGAAATGTCTGACAGGAAAACAAAGCCTGTGCCCAAGTATTAATTTCCTTCAATGCCATGGAGACTTTTTTTCCAAACATATGCATACTTTTTTTTAGAAAAATTACCCATATATTTTTTTTTACTGTTTTGAGATCTCGGATGTAATGTGTGATAATGATATACTATATCGGTTTCAGGTCTGAGGTACCATTACTTCAGCACGCTAATTTTCTTAAGCTCTGAAAATGGTTTTGGGAAGCTTCAGTGAA